GGAAACCCTCCACCAAGCTGTAGCCCTGCCCGGGGCCCCCGGGGTGGGGCTGGTGCCCATGCCTGGACTCCCCTCGTTCATGCTGCTGCCCCTTGGCCATGCCACCCTTTGGTGACACTGCCCATGCCCTGCTGCCCCTCGGCCATGCTGCAGATGGGTGCTGTGTACTCCCCATGCCACTGTGACCAACCCCATGGGTGATGGTCCCCAACACCTCCACCAACTCGCTGGCTGGCACACGATGGCCAAGCCTTCTGCGTAACACTCTGGGATGTCGCCTGTGTCTCCTGCATCAGCAGGGACTCCCAGCTTGTCATCACACCCAGGTGGGATATACTTGTGGTCATCTTGCTGCTGGCACCTACGGGGATATCCCCAGTTGGGCTGTCTGCCCTGCACCCTCTCACTCCAGTTCCTCCATCTTTTGTCCCAAGGAATACATTCTGCCCAAATCCATTCCTCGCTGCTGGTATTGGCTTGGCTGCTGCAGGACAGGACCGGTGACATGAGTGGGGTTGCATGAATGGGGTTGAGGGCCATGTGGGGCTGGACCCCAGCCCCACACCCACTTAGCGAAGTGGCAGACAGCACGTTGGGCATAGCAGGGCACAGCCCCCGCCCGTGTGGCTCATATTTAATCACAAATGAGCAAATAGAAAACAAAAAAAATAGGAAGTGTCTGCAGGGGAAGAACCGGCGGTGCAGGAGGGGGATGGCAGGGCCATTTGCGAGATGTCAGGCCTGCAGCCCGCTGAGCAGCACTGAGAGCAGTGAGGCAAGAGCCAGCGTGCTGGTGGTCACGGTGGTGGTGATGGCACTGCCCACTGGGAAGGGCTTGGTATTTTCCTGCAGCCAGTTGTACGCCTCCTCCAGCTTCTGCCGCTGCAGCTCTGGCCCCACATGTGCACGGATCCTCTCGTAGTAGGAGTTCAGGTACTGGATCTGCAGCCAGGCACCATGGGGGACTGTGGGGGCTGCCCTGGATGTTGCCCCTCTTTGACCCTCTCTATCCAGCTGCCCCACACCCCAATCACCAGCTCCACCTGCAGACCCTGTTGCCCCTCTCTACCCATGCATCCATCCTTGCTCCATCCTCCTTTACCTCCTCCACCCTCATGCTATGGTCCTGGTTCTCTACTGTGTCCAGCCCAGCACGCCTCGCTCTCGCCGTGCCCCAGCCCCACATGCTGCCCTCACCTCCCTGTTCTGCCCCCCACCCCAAGCATACCTGCTCTGGGGACAGGAGACTGAGGTCGATGAGGTTGCGGTCATAGGGCACCAGGGACACCACCTCAAAGGTCAGGAAGGGCTTCTCTCCACTCTGGTGCTGCCACAGAGAAGCACCATTTGGTGTCAGCCAGGAGTGCTCCCACCCCTGACTCAATGCAGCCTCCTGTGCTGTGCCCCCCCTGCCTGCCTGATTTAATTACCCTACCTTGGTCTGAGCCTCCACAACGAGGGCGACGTCCTCAATGCGGATGCCAAACTCACCATCCCGATAGTACCCAGGCTCTGAGAGTTGGGAAGGTGCTTGATGAGCCCTCAGCTGCAGTGGCTCCCCCAGCCCACCCCAGAAGTGCTGTATCTGGCCCCTGAGGTGGTGTGAGAGCTGACACCCTGTCCCTGGCCACGCTCTGCACCCTGGAGGGGTCCTGGAGAGCCAAGGTGCTGGCTGGGTCAGTGGGACATACCAATGGAGGTGAACATGCCGGCTGCCAATGGCACATTGTTGGACTGGAAGCCCACAGGCCCTGCAGGGACACAGAGTGGGTTAGAGCTCCAGGAATGGTGTGTCCTGTGGGGACACCTTGGCAAGGAACAAGGCATCACACCAAAGAGAACCACAGAGCCACCACATGGACCATGGGTCACCCAGGCAAGGACCATGAAGCAGCGAAGACTAGGACCATGGGGGCCACCAGGGCAAGGACCAGGAGTCACCCTGGCAAGGATCATGGGGCCACCCTGGCAAGAACCACAGCACATTTCAGATAGGGGGGACCCCTCAAGGAACAGGCTTTGCTGTGCAATGAGAAGGCCCCAATGAGCCCCCATCCTCATCCCTGCAGCTCAGCCCAGCAATAGTGCTGGTGTCACCTACACTCATGGACTGAGAGGAAGTTGCCGATGCCATGCCCGGTCCCGTGGCCATAGTTGAGTCCCACATCCCAGAGTGCCCGGCGGGCAAAGGACTCCACTGTTCTCCCTGGGGAATGAAGAGGTGAGATGGGGGCTGATGCAGGGGTCGGGGCAAGACTGAACTGCCAGATGCTTGGCACCCACCTGCAGTGCTGGGTGGGAAGATGAGGCGGGAGAGGTCAATGTTGCCCATCAGCACACGGGTATAGGCTTCCTGCAGAGCCACAGCAGGGGCTGAGCGTGGTGGTGCCTGGACGCCCACCCCAGCACATCCAGTCCTGTCTGGGACTGTGGTGCCAAGTGCTGCAGGGGGCCCTGGGCAGTGCAGCGAGTGGGTAGGCATCACAGGAGGTGCTGAGCAGCATAGGGATGTGCTGGCTGACAGAGGAGGGGCTGGTACCTTCTGGAGCGGGGTGGGCTTGCCCCAATGCACTGTCCGTGTGATGTCTGTTGTCCCATCCCTGCAGAGGGGGGACATGAATGGGGACGATGCAGACCCAGCAAAGCTTTGGACGCCCCTAGATGTGGGGCTGTGATGGGGATTCCCCATTAAAGACTACGCACAGATATTGCCCTCCGGTGTCGCAGAGGTACATCTCGCGTGCAGACAGTGTCCGGCTGCTCCCGTTGGAGGGGCTGCAAGGCAAAGAGGGGTCAGAGCTCCCTTCAAGCTGCCCACTGCCCATGGCTGTATGAGAATACCCACCACTGCCCTGGCTGTACCTGTAGTGGGCCAGTGCTGCGTTGAGCCCACTGGCTGAGATGGACTCAAAGCTGGGCCCGCGGCTGTGCTCCTGGGCCCTGGAAGGCAGCAGGGAGGCAGGGACATGCTAGTGGTCCCTGTCTGCCCTTCTCCAGGTGTGTGTGTGGGAGGGCTGCAGGGGCAGCACTGACCATCGGAGAGCATCGATGTGCTGAGCACCCAAAAACTCATTCACCTGTCCCCCTGGGACCGTCTTCTCCAGCCACAGCAGGACTGCATCCCGGACCTGCGTGTTGCCCAGTGGCACCGGGGAGAGGGCATCAGCACCCTGCTTCCCCCAGTGTCCCCCCCATTCTGCTGGGGGCTGTGAGAATGGAGACAGCCCTTACATGGGCAGCTCGCAGCAGCTCCTGCTCCTGGGCATTTTTCACAGCCTTAGCTGTCATGACAGGTGAGTAACTCTCCTCCAGCAGCTTCTCCTGTGAGGGCAGACAGGAGCTGGCATGGCCACGTGTCCTCTCGTGCCCCAGAGGTGGCCACAGTGCACTGACGTGAGGCCGTCCCCTAGCCCGCAGGACCCACGTGCCCCACGGCTGGGCTTGGTGCCACAGCATTGCCACTGGTATGTGGCAGTGCCCACCTTGGGGATGATGCTGTAGAGGCCATAGGTGGTGTACTCTGTGCCCAGCCACACGATGACATTGCCCTGGGTGTAGTGGCGCAGGTGAGCGCTCACCTCTCCGTACTCCTGCAGCTCCACACACAGCACCCCTGGGCAGGCGGAGCGCAGGAACTCCCGCGCTGCTGCTGACAGCCGGGACCCCTCCACAAACAGGCTGGGGAGGGAGTGGGATGGGGCAGGCACAGACATGGGGGTCACCCTCTGCCTATGGTCCCCTGAGCCTGGTCACACCAGCAAAGAGGAGAGGTCTGTGGGGCTCAGAGGGGATGATGGGTGGGGATGGGGGGGCCCCCTCCTTAGGCTGTGTGGGAAGGGGTGTGCTATATCCCAAGGTGGGCTGGGAGCAGGGGGACAGATTGGGAAAGATGTGGGGCTCAGAGAGACAATCAGTGGGGCTGGGCATGGCAGGACATGGCTGCCCTGAGGACGAGGGCAGTGGAGCTGAGGATCCGATGGGGGCTGGCCTGGGATGGGAAGGGGTTTGCTAATCCCACTCTGTGCCCGCAGGGAGATGCCACCCACCTTATGGTAGTGTTTGTCAGGAGGGTATAGGAGTAGAAGACAGGGTTGTAGGGGATGTCGTCTCCGCGGAGGTTGAAGAGCCCTGTCAGGAATGAGACCTCTGCGCCTGCCACTGCCCTCCCACCCCCAGGGCTTGGAGGCCACAGCGTCTGCCATGGCATCCAGCAGGACACCTGCCCTAGCACAGTGGGTACTCACAGGCTGTCTCCTCCAGCCCTGACAGCAGCACGGCAGTGGGGCGTCGCACATGCTGCTCCATCTGCTGCCGGATCCTGGTCACTTTCTCTTGCCAACTGCTCCCTGAGAGAGGGAGCTCGGTGCAGGGACTGCCACGGCCCTGGGTGGGGTGTGCCGCGGGAAAGTGCCCACCCAGCAGCCATGGAGAGTCTGAAGTCATACCTGTGAACACTGCTGGGAGGCTATAGATCTCACTGGAGGAAGGAGGTGGTCTCTGGTCACCCCACACTTGATCCACGAGGTTGGTCTCAAGAGGCAGAAGAGTCCGGCCAGAGCCTTGCAGAGCCTGGCTGTAGCTGTTCCAGGTGCCTAGGAAGGGAAGCAGCCCACAGGTGGGAACTCCTGGTAAATCGACACCATGGGCAGGGTGACCCCCAGTGACAGCCAGCCCTACTGATGGAGAAGAGGAAGGGGTCCAGGCTGATGTTTCCCCCCACAGGCACAGCCTCCAGGATCCATGTTCCGATGGACTCGATCCATGCTGCAGGAGAGAGCTAGGTGACACTATGAGGACGCAACATGTCTCAGCCCATGCTGAGCCCAGAGGAGGCTGTGGCAGGGGCTGAGAGAGTACTGGGGCTGTGGGGA